AACCCACCAGTCACAGATTTCTCTACAAGGTACATACATTTTCTATAAAGTTACTGTTTGTGATTTTTTTTTTAAAGTTGAATTGGAAAGTTGTGCTACTTATGTGGTACTGGTATACTAGCTGTTCTCTGAAGCCTGTCACTTCTGTTAATATTAGAGTGGCAACAATATTAACCTTGGCTGAAGTTGAATGTTACTCTTCCCAAGAGGGGTGGATTCTACTTACCTCCGCTACCGGTTTGCAATGGGACTGCGCGCACATGCGCAGATCATCCATGATGAGGTCCAGGCGGGTGAGCGGACTCTCCTGCCGCCATTACTACTGGTTCGCAAGAACCAGACCGAACTGGGAGCAACCCACCACTGCTTCAAAGCCACCAGTACTACATTCCTGGAAATTACTCAAAATATGAGAGATGAAGAAATCCTACAATGTAAAGGAAAGGCTACAGGAATAAGAATGATTAAATATTAGATCTGACTGGGAATAGCATGTCTATATGTATGACAGATATTGCCCATTTAAGTTTTTAAGGTTTTATTTGGGATAGTTCCTGAATATCCTTTCAATTTTATTTCCAAAATCAGAAATATAAGTTTGCATAAATATAATGCAAACCTCAGATATTGAAGGAAAAACTCTGCTTAGAGAAAGAGTAATATGGCCTATCTTAAGAAACCTGTGTCTGGAAAGGACAGAAAGTTACATAATACATTAATATTTTTTTTAACCATTAGAATGAAAAGAAGTTCTTTGGGAAGAACTACTGATGTTGATTTGCATGTATGGGATGTAAATTTTGTCCTCTGATTCAGGTGAGAAAATAACTTGGTCAAGTTGAGATATTGATCTATAAATATCAACTATGAGAGCTGATACCCAACCAAACCAGAAGGTTCCCAGCTGGAAAAGGGTGATTTGGTGGTTTTATTTATTTTCAGGCTATCTGCTTTCTAGGTACTTTATGTGTTCATAAAGTAAAAATACATATACTATGGTTTGTTAATCTTCTAATCTTTATTGATACAACTTTTATCAATTTACAGATTGAAATGGGATTGGATTATTTTCTGCCATGGTAGTTTTCTTTGTATTGCCTGAAATTTGCTACTGATGTATTTGTTAGGGTGAAAATTCTAAAATGCAGGTTGCCTAATAATTTAAAATTATTTTATTTTCCAGTGGACAAAAATATCCATGCTTCTATTACACTAGTGTACTCATTTACAATAGTTGGTGGATCAGTTTTCCAAACAGGGCAAATATGTATGAATAAGAAGAATCAAAGATATTTAAAGTAAAATATTGCACATTGATTAGCTAAAGAGTGAAATTTTCCTTTCAGTTTGAAGGATCCCAAAATTTTGCATGCCCATTCTTCTCGATTTTACTCTCTATTGCAGTAAATTCAGCACTATGACAATAACAACTCTCCAGTAAGAATCTGTTGCAAATCTATCCACCAAAGTATATTCAATTATTGGTGCAATATAATATAATATAAATAAAGTATAGCTTTTCTGTCAACTTGGTTGCTAACATAAGCTTCATTTCACATTGGTAGCAAATAATACTTTCCTAAAAAGTCATTCAATCCACCCACAGTGAAATACAACAGCAGTCAACCACATCAAAAGAACAGCTGGCTCTTTAGTTGAAGTTTACTTTTCATAACGCATTCTTTCCATCCAGAAAAGGAAGAGAGGAGAGAAAAAGAAACTATTCCACTGTAATTTGCTTTGTTCCATCAATTGGTTTCTCTCTGTTTTGTCCCTCTTTACTTTTGCTTTTCTAAGGTGTATGTTTGTATTAAACTATCATTTCTACATTATTTCACTTGGAATGATCTAAATTACCTAGAAAAACATCCAGAAGAACAGCAAAGTTAAAATTGATAGCATTGTTACCTGCCAAATTATACAAATTTATCCTACTGGATGGAATCACACAGTTATATCAGCTGTGAGAGAACACTTTGGTCTGAGCAGATGTTTTATTATTTTATTTTACTTAGTTTGTCAAACATGTATGAGAAAACAGGTATAAGTATAAACATGGATATGAACACAGGAAATGTGTATGAATAAATGGGGACAGTAGGACAGGGACAGTAGGCATGCTGGTGTGCTTATGCACAGCCCCTTACAGACCACTTAGGAATGGGGTGAGGTCCACAGTAGACAGTTTAAGGTTAAAGTTTTGGGGGTTTGAGGATATAACAGCAGAGTCAGGTAGTGCATTCCAGGCATTGACCACTCTGTTGCTGAAGTCGTATTTTCTGCAATCGAGTTTGGAGCAGTTTACCTTGAGTTTGTATCTATTATTTGCCCATGTATTATTGCAGTTGAAGCTGAAGAAGTCATTGACAGGTAGGACATTGTAGCAGACAATTTTGAGTACTACACTTAGGTCAGACCGTAGTCGACATAGTTCTAAGTTGTCCAAGCCCAAAATTTTGAGCCTGGTGGCATATTGTGAGCAGAGGAGTGGAGTACTCTTCTCGTGAAATACCTCTGGACTCACTCAATTGTATTAATGTCCAGTATACAATGTGGATTCCAGGCAGACAAGCTGTATTTGAGGATTGGTCTGGCAAAGGTTTTGTATGCCCTAGTTAACAATTCAATGTTACTGGAGAAGAAACTTTGCAAAATTAGGTTAACAACTTTTTGGCAATGCTGTTACAGTGAGCTCTGGGGCTTAGATCATTTGAAATGAGTATTCCTAGGTCCTTGACAGAATGAGGGTCATCTACGAGGTCGTATCCGTCCAGCTTGTATTTAGTGTTCTGATTTTCGTTGCCAATGCTTAAGACAGAGCACTTGTTGGTTGAGATTTGAAATTGCCAAGTGTTCTACAATTCTGTGTGTCTATTTTTCTCAGCTCCACCCCACTGGAATTAATGGTTGTGCTGTCCAGCCATGATTCAGGTGTTTCTGAATCATGGCTGTTTACTACTTAAAATAGCTTACTAAAAAAGACTGAAGTTGGCATTTTTTTCCTAGTTTATAATTATTCTGTTTTAATTTATTTTAAGAAATTTTTTTTGGAAGAATACCCCCTTGGCCTCATTTATCTATGAACTCAAATTCATATCTTTATAAGATGTACCTGGAAAACATACAACTATAACAAACGTTTGCTGCAAGACAGCATGCCATAGTAGACATGATTAAAACAGAATTTTTAAAAAATAAAAAGTGTTCATGAAAAGAAAATGAGTGCACCATTTTGTAGACCTTGACTGAATAACTGTTCCTAACAAGAATAATAAAACTATAAACTGATGAGCAAGGAGTAATGGTTTTCAAATAAATTGTGAGAGATTATAATGTGGCAAACCTTGGGGAGCTAAGCATAACAAAGAATAATAAAGGAAACATGAAATACTTCTTGGCTGTGATTATTTGGAAACCTTCAATGGGAATGGTCTTTATTAACCTTGGAATACAGTAGGGTAATTATGTTTCCTGATACTACATTGAGTTCTTCCATCTCTTTCAGGTCAAATTCTATAGTTACTGATTTAATGACCAAATGATTGGCTAGAGAATCTAAGAACCTTGTAGAATGTGCTTTAAAACTGGGGGTGGGGGGGGGGGGGGACTGGAATTTGGAATGGAGAGTTGTAGCAAAAGGGATAGAAAGAAAGAGGAAGAAGGAAAAATAAGGAAAGTAAATAAGAGAAGCTAGCTAAATGTGTTTGGGTGAATATGTGTATAAGCGAGAGAATGAGAATGATAGCTTAAAACTCCAATTCTGCTCTTTAACATGTGAAGCTTCTAAATTCTTCTCTGAAGATCATGTCAGATTTAAAGTTTAATGAAACACAGCTTCATAACTTCATATTGGTGTAGAAAGCTATGAACTGATTGTATATTCAAGGGTAAGTCCCATTACTCTTAGAATCTGGTTTGTTCAAAATGAAATAGTAGGCATACAGCTTATGCAAGGTGGGTTGTTCAGTTTTTGGGTAGCATGTGGAGTGTCTCAAGACATTGTGGTATGTCACATATTTGAATCAGAATAATATTTGTCTTTGGAAAATTATTGTTACCAAAGATACTTTTTGGAGAAGATGTCTGGGTGCAGTGGCAGTCTCAATTTTAGATAGGACTTTATTTCAAGGATTGATTTCCAAACCAGTTACATTAAGAATTAAATTGAACAAGATTCAACACGTAATTAGAACAGATAGAATCATATATTGTTGTTAGACATATGTTCACCTATGAATCTAACTGCTTATAATATATTGAATTGTGTTGATGCCATGACTTAGAGTACATATTTGGTGTATGTGTCAGATTATTTTTTCTGGTCCAAGTGGAACTTCATATTTTGTAAATGTCAATATAAACTGAGGTATATTAGTGAATGTTCATCTTACAAGCTAGAAGGCTGTTCACTCAACTAGCCGATGGGCATAGAATTATTTGTAGTATGCTAAATTTAGGTAATGCTAAACTGTTATAAAACTTATGTATTTTTTTTTTCATTGGCTAGTCACTGTTATAACACTGCTGCTAAAATGAGATTATTGTGGGCCACTTGATGTAAACCAGTTAGGAATCACAACCAGATTAATTAATTCTGCTTTATTGTGAAGTTATATTGACAGAATCTTGCAAGTCTGAAAATACAGTCCTTTCCCTGCTTCCTTTACAGCCCAAAATTAGGGAGGGTCTCTTCTGAGCCACTTACTCTCCCCACTACCCAGTTTCCAGCTTTGCTGTTTGTTATCTGACCATTTCCTTGGCAGTGTCTCTTTTCCAGACTCCCAAAGTCTTTTCCACATACCATTACACTTGTATAATGTGAGATTGTTTTCTGAGCACAAGAAAAGAAGTAAAATGTACTCATTTTTCATTTTAGAAATAGTTCTGTCAGCAGAACTTTTGTGTAGTGCGCTGTTTATATCTGAATAAGATTCATTCAGCTCCAGTTCCTTTTCCACCAGATTTCCTATTTTTGACATCTTTTTCTTCTTTCATTTCAGCCAAACCCTTTGAAAACGGACAATACTTGGACATCTATGGAATTACAAGAGACCAAGCTGGGGAGTATGAATGTAGTGCTGAAAATGATGTCTCAGTTCCAGATGTGAAAAAAGTAAAAGTCACAGTAAACTGTAAGTCATCAGTTTTTGTTTTTTTTAAATGAATCATTAAGTACATGATTTTAGAAGCAAAAAGCAGTTGTCAATAAATGATTAAATGTGATGTAAATTCTGTATAAAGATTACACTAGGTGAGAAGCATAGCAACAGGCTCTGCCCACAACTTGTATGTCTTCTGGAGAAGGTCATAGACCTTTTGTACCAGTGGAAACTCTTGGCAGTTCTTACAGTAATTTACATTTCATGAGCATGCGTTACTCCCAGCCACACATCTCAAAAAGATTTATTTTGAAAGCCTTTCTCATCCATCCGGAGAGTTCTTCAACATGCTGGTTTGCTGGGCTGCCTATTCATTTATTCCACTCTTTCTTTCTGAATTGGAAATGTTTACTAATCTCAGTCCTTGATAAGAAGAGAACAGAACTCCATAGATTTTAGAAAGATTTCCACAAAATGTGGCCATTAAACAACAGAAAGCTGAAAATGAATGAAGACTGTGAGAACTTCTCATTCCCCACTGAAAAGGTCTTACCAAAAAGATACCTTTGGAGCCAATGCTTATGTGTGCGTATTATGTATACTTATATACATATACATACATATGTGTATGTGTGTATGTGTATGAAAAAATTAAACTATAAAAGTGCAAGGAAAAGATTTAATCCTAATTTTTAAATCCACATTCTGAAATGTTAGACAGAAAAATTTACTTACATAAAATATTGTAATATGTTTCCCTAATAACAAATTCAAATTTTATGGAGATTTTTTAAATTTATAATAAAGAAAATGATAATAGATAAAACCCTACTGTACTTTATTTAAACTGACTTGTATTTTCCTTGTTTCGTCCTTTTGCAAAATTCTGAAGTCCATGTCTTTGATAGTTTCAGTAATGAAATTGTTTTGAGTTGCTGCATGTTAAGATTAAGCTTGAGTGGGAAAAAAAACTCAGTTCAATTTTAAATGAGTTCAATTTTAAAAGGAGTTGGGAGAGTGAGGTTTTGAGGAGATGGGGAAAATTTACAGTTATCTTAGTGGCCATTCCTTCTCACACACTTAATATCTTTCAGATTATAGTCGTATTTATGTACTCTAACACAAATAGTTCTCCATTAGGCTTAATATTAACACACCACTAATTTATTGTTTCAGAAAAAATGCAGTAGAAAAATTGTAGTTCCTATGATGGGCTGGTGTTTCTCAATCTTGGCAGCTGTCAGATGTGTGGACTTCAATTCCCAGAATTCCCCAACTAGAAAACACTGCCCTAAGAGAAATGAAGTAATACACCCCTGTATTGCCAAAAGAAATACTGGTACTTAGGAAGACACTTTGTGCCTTGAATCATAAGGAGACTGGTAGCACCTTTTCAGACTAATTATTAAATAAAACTAAAGCCACAAATGTTAACTACAGAACACTGTTAGAATAATATAGTAGAAGGATGATTTAGATTGATGAGTGATGAAATGGGGAGATGAAATGGTTATGCCAATGCAAGTTATATCTAAAACACATTGCAAATACCATATGAATTTATAATTAAAAACCCATTGTTTTTGTACAGAACTTCTGAAATCTTCTGATGTATGTCAGTTCTTCAGTCTTTACTCAATTCTGTTGGTAGAGTTTTTTGTTCCAAAATAGCTGCTTTGATATACTTTAGGAATTCTGGGAATTGAAGTCCACACATCTTAAAGTAACCAAAGTTGAGGAACACCAGTCAAACTATTCTCCAATCATAATCGCAAAACTCAGAAATCAAAATGCAAAAATGTTTTAGCATTTTGAGGTAAAAAATGGGAAATCTGCAGCTTAGGTCCTAAAATAAGGAGGCATGGTATTTTGTTTTTTTTAAATAGAACTCCCCCACCCTCTACAACTTTGGAAAATCCTGAAAAACTTGACTGTATAGATATGCTTGAAAAATGTCTGTTAATTCATCTTTTGACATTGTAAATCCAGAGGTTGATGTGGGCATCTTCTTGTCATTTGTTTGCCTGTTAGGCAAACTACCCCAATTTACTTGGCTTTGACACTACCTCCAAGGCATGATCCTATATTGACATATTTGCCAGAGAGAGGTTTTTTCTTTAGTAGAAGTATGATTTAAAAAAAAAATACTTGACAAATTTATGTATTTTCCCCACCAAAACAAAATAAAGCCTCATCAGTAGGACTCTATTAAAAGCTGGTGTTTCAGGGTGATGCATTGTTCATGTTCAAATGCTATTTTTTTTTAATGTGTTGGGATTTCTTCCTCTCAATGGGAAACATTCAGATATGTAATCCCCCTCTCGGAAAATTCCCAGTACTTGAATAATCTAGAATGTGCTCCAAAAAAACTATGACTGTATTCACTGAGCTCTTAGTTTTTCTGAATGTGATTTTAACGTATAGCTTGGTCAGCCTTATCTGCATGTCTTGTGAGCCTGTCATACTACTAGCAATATATTGCCAATAAGGTTTCAACCAGCTATTGCCTGTAGCTAGATTAGGAGTATTGGAATTCTTCCTGGATTGCCCAGAGCTGCCTCATTATATCAGTTTCTACTTTCTGTCTGCTTAGGAATAAATATATATCTGTAAATGTAAACTGTATATAGTACATATACTTTATGTACTCAGACACAACTTTAACTTCCATTAGAAAAACGGATTCTATTGAAATCCAGCATCATTACTATTTTGACATTTTCCTTAGAACTTCTATAACAGGGGTATCAAAGTCGATTTCATTGATGGCCGCATCAAGGTTGTGTTTGACCTTGGGGGCTGGGTGGGTGTGGCAATGATAGGCATGGCCAGTTTGATGTCACTGGTGATGGGGGCACCTGTGGCCCATGCGCTCAGCCTGTGAAAACGGGCTCCTGAGCTCTGTTTTCAGCTGGGATGGCCTCCAGAAACCCTCTGCTAGCAAAAACGGAACTCGGGAGGGCGGCATGCGCCCCTTGTGAGCTGCATTTTCAGCTGGGATGGCCTCCTACAACCCTCTGCCAGCAAAAATAGAGCTTTGGAGGGCTACATGTGGCCCTCGCGAGCTCAGTTTTTGGCTGGAATGGATTCCAACACTCTGCCAGCAAAAACAGAACTTGGGAGGGTCATGCGTGGCTGTTCCGAGCTTCGATTTTGTTGGCAGAGGCACCACGAGTTGTTTCCAGGATGGCCCCATTGTCTAGATCTAAGCACCACACAGGCCGGATCCAGCCCGTGGGCCTTGAGTTTGACAGCCCTGTTCTATAACATTAGTTACAGATTTTCTGTGACATGCAATTTTTCTGATCGTCACAAGGTATGGGTTAATATAAAATATGCCCTCCTTTGAACACTCCATCAATATCTTGCTGGCCATTTGGAAATAGAATAATAGGTTATGCAGATCTTTTGCTGGATATAATACAGTGCTTTTCATTCTTGCTTGAAACATTCAAATATAGTTTACAAGATAAATGGCTTGTGGTAGATATACTGATCTCAAACTTCCTAAAGCAGTCCTAAATTCCATAATAATTTAATAGTCCAGTGAAGCAAAACAGGATCTTTTTTAATGCAGTTCATATAAACCTGACTTTCAGATCTGTCCAACACTTTGCAAGGATAAAGGTTCAAACTGTACTGTATCAATCCTTCCATCCATTTCATCTATGGTTCTTTCTTTTTCTAATATCCCACCTAGAATATCAGAGAAATCTCATAAAAGCATAGCACATTGTCAGACCAAGCTGTGTATTTGAACTACAGTATATTGTTACTTACGTATATCACAGGTCATCTGACACTCGAGAATAAAGGTTACTGCCTTTCCTGCCAGATGAAAGGAAGGTTTTTGTGTAAACTGTTGTATTATCAAGGGTAAAAAGTCCAACTAGGAGAAAGATCACGATCCCTTGGTTTTTGATGTGAACATTTTGTATCATTTACCACTCCACTGCCTTTGGACAAATTGAACAGGATTCTAGTTTCTTTTTTCCCTATATTGCTGTAAATCCGAGGTAGCTGCCCCAAAATCGATGACATTACATCAGATTTATGGTCGCATTGGAAAGTGCAATTTGTCCTAATGGCCTTGGCTCTACAATTGTAATTAAAATAGCTGTAAATGTTGATAGATGGTGGAAGGTGTATGTGGAAGTGTTGATTCACCGAGGAAATTTCAACAAACTGCAACTCTTGCAAGAAAGACTTCGTGATCTCTGTATCATGCAAATCACCATATGCCTGGCAAGAGAGTTAACTCATCAAGATATAACAACCATTGCACTCACCAGATGTGTGTTTAACAAAAACAGCTGCAGGCTGGAAGCTGCTTAGAGTCAGAGAAATGATTTATGGGTGTGTCTGCATTTTAATTTTCAATGAATATATATGTTAATGTTTGAAAACAAATTCCCATAATGTCCTAATCTACTGTGTTGCTTTCATTGCATCTAATTCTGAAGTTATTTTGCTAAGCAGTGTGTGAGGGAAATAGCATATTTAGCCTCTTTTTTACTGCCTATTTACCAATGCAGCACATACTTTCTATAAATAAGGAAAGATAGATTTACTCATGCAGATTTTGGAAAGAGAAGATAATTTGTACATTTTTTAAAAAATGTTGTTCCTTGCAAAATAAGGATGTAGAAAGTTTCTTGAATTGCAATTTGAGCAGGGAAGTGGGGTATTAAGCACTTGAAAACCTTCAGAATTTTTCTTTTTCATGCCAACGAGAGGTCCACCCAGACTGGACATACAGCCTAATAATTCTTGGTTACTATCAAACAATGGTGCTGTCAGGCTGCAGTGAGACCTGGAAGTGATGAAAGAAATAGAGTGATAGAGGGAAAAAAACCCAACACCCTACTTTGTTGAAAGCACCAAATTCAAGCAAGCTCTCACAGAATAATGTGTCAAATGTGAGAAATAAAAACAAATTTTTCAAACCCTGTGGAGTGATGCTCGTTTCTGCTGCTCAAGCTGTTTTCTGTGGAGATGACACCAATAAATGAAGCCCATATGAAGCTAAAAGG